GGAGAACACAGGGATGAAGCCAGTTCAGAGAGAGATTAATAAGAGGCCATGATTGGTAAGGGCCAATGGGAAATTTGGCCAGAATGTCAGGGTTATACCACTACTCTTTTCGAGAAATGCCCTGGGATTTTTAATGACCACAGAGAATCAGGACCTCGGTTATACGTCTCATCAGAAGGACGGCGCCTTTTTACAGTATAGTGTCCCCGTCACTATATTGGGGCATTAGAACTCACACAGACCACAGGGTGAGCGCCTCCTGCTGGCCCCACTAACACCTCTTCCAGCAGCAACCTTAGCTTTCCCAGGAGGTTTCCCACCCAGGTACTGACCAGGCTCACACCTGGTTAGCTTCAACGGGTTGCCAGTTGTGAGTTGCAGGGTGATATGGCTGCTGGCTGTAATTATAATATTACAATCCTCTCATGTATATACTGTAGCACTTTGAGATCCTTTACAATGAAAGTACTCAGATATCTGAAGGGACCTGCTTTATCCAGCACTGAAGTGCAGCCTCACGCTGGGTGATGTGAGGTAGCCAGGATGTGCCACTTCAAAGCAGGTCAGGAGGATAAGTGAGAAACTGCTTCATCAGTTGAATTTTGGGGAGACTTCATGTTGACCACATTGTGCAACTTTAAATCAGCCAGGACACTGGCGTTATCACCTTTACTCTTGCACAGTGTCCTGAGATCTTTAATAACCAAGCAGGGAGGCCTCAGTTTAATGTATTAATCAAAGGACAACACTTCCTAAAGCATAGTGTCCCCAGTCACCATACTGGTGCACTGGTGTGGAAAGTCCGGTTTGCCAGGTTTTCCCTGGAGGACTCCTGCCCCCGTACTGACCCGGCTCTGGCTTCTGAGATCTGATGATGAGTTGAGGCTCAGAAGTGACAAAGCTGCTTCTGTTATTCAGTGCAACACAATTGCCAGAGCTGTTTAGGTTTATGATGTCAACCAAATATAGATGTTTTAATTTACAGCTTCACATGAAGGTCTTTCACGAAGACATTCTCACAAAAGGCCTTTTTTTCCAAACGGCAGGCTCTTCTGCACACCTCACTGCAATGCAAATTGTGTGGTGCAGTATATATCCCAGGAGCTCCACTATCACTGGAAAGGATCAGTCCTGCAGTTTCAGCAGAGATCACGGTGAAACATGGCCAGAGTCGAGTTCCAGGAAGTCCCTGTGAGTTTACTCTGTGTCATCTCTCTCTCCAGAGCACAAAGATTCAGCCGAGTGGAAGAAGGCTGTGCCCAGCTACAACCAGTCGAGCAGCAGCATGGATTTCAGAGTGTGGAACAGCCTGCCCCGGGACGATAACCAGGAGCCTCTGCCCAAGAACTGGGAGATGGCCTACACTGAGACAGGCATGGTGTACTTCATCGAGTGAGTACTGCCCTGAGCCCTGTTTGAGCAGGAGGCTGCAGTCTGCGTCAGTCAAGGGTCTTGTGAGTGACACAGTAGTGGGCCGTGTTCACAGAGGTTTAAAACCATTGGAGTAATAGTTTCTAAATATGTTACACAGAAATGTTTTGATCGGCATCATGTGTGCATACTGTACGTGTTGCTGTCAAGATGAGGGATGAAATTTAAGAAATTGTCCTTACAAGGATAGCAACAAACAGCTGATTTGGGTATGTCCATGTTATGGGAATTATTTTTTGTAATCTAAATAGCGTGCTCTTTTAAATCAAGAATTAGCCTAAAAAGATATCTTTTGAGATGGTTTTCACCCCATGGAGAGTTTCACTTAAGTGAAACTTGACATAGATAGAAATAGTTAAAAAATACAATAAGAGCTGTTTTACATATACACGCCTGTAGACACGGTAGTTGAATAGAAAGCACTTTAATTAAAAAAAATTAATGCCAAGTGCAAACCTAAATCATGGCTGGTATTTTATCATATTACCAAATTATATTTGTAGAAAAGAATGTTTAAGTATTTAGTTTCTTCAATATGGATATTAAGCTGTTTTTCAAAATGAGTCAGTTATTCATTAATTTTGACCAGTTACTCCAGCTTGCCTTCTAAATGGCAATAAACAGCTGAAATATTGAATGCATGTCAAATAGCTGGCAATTATGACCTGCCTTATCAATCACTCCTCTTGAGTCCTGTTGAGTTTAAAAGGATGGACATAAGTGAAACAGTAGCACAGCATCACTGATTCACTTTAGTGAAGTAGAAGAACAGATCTAAAAACAAACCAGGCAGATGTTTGGATGTGAATGTACCAGGAGCTGGTTAAAAAGTAGGACTATCACAACTGATGCAAGAGTAAGATATTGAATGTGCCCTATAACCATCCATATTTTCATTTGTGAAGATGATGCTTTTTGCTAAAAAACGGCTCATAGTTTGTATATAGCTCCCATATTTTGATTTTGAATGATAATGTCAAATTTGGGATGATTGTTAAAACATAAACAGGTTGCAGAAAGAAAAACAACATAAAATAGTTGTGCAGTGTTCCTGTTTTTTTTTAGTTGCGCGAATGACCTATTGGGTGTCAGGTGTGCTAATAAGAAGCAGTGCTCAACCACTCAATATTTTAGCATACATCTGACTGACTAAACAGCATTGTACTATGAACATTGATGGTTATTCCTCAATCTGATATGTCTGAAGGATAATCTATTACTTGCTCATGCTAAGAGAAATGATGGACATCAGCTAAAAAACAGTTTTGAAATGTATTCAATAACCCGTTAGATAATTACTCAGCTTTGACTCAGAACCTCTTCAGCATGCAATATAGTTCAGAAGATGTTCCCTCTAAAAACAGATGCTGCACTTAGTACTAATACAATGTAAAGATTTACAGGAAGGTCAAATCAATGTGTGTTACATGTACCCAGAGGCTTAATAGTCTTAATAGAATCTCTAGTTGCCCAGGCAATACATTACTCCTACCAGTAAGTGACGCAGAAGGCAAAATAATGTCCATGTTCATTCTTTGCTTTGTAAAAACCTCTTCTTCTGACCTACTGTCTGGTCCACTTGGTCCAAAAGATAACCTTTCTTTAGGTATCCTGTGTGGGCATCCTTATTATGTGTTCTTACTTTCTTGAGCCTGTTCTTTGTCTTGGGAACAGACTGTGGCCTCACAGAATGCCTCACCAGTGGCCCAACAAGTTTATGCTGGTACTCCATAACCAACCCACTGTTGTTAAGCTGCACGGAAAGCTTAGCACATCTTAATGAATGCAGTTTGCTCAATAAACACTTTCTCAGTGACTTACAGTACATTAGCCTTATTCATAGTACACATGTGATTCCTGCAGTGTACTTTGTCCACTCTGTATTCTGCATGCGATGTTGCCTGCGACCCATGGTCCTGTTTCAGCAGGTGTGTGCTGTACTGCATGTGCGAGAAGGAATTTGGCAAGATTCTTTGATATTTACCCAGGGACTTCACGTATTTAATGAAATATTTAGGAATTTTGTGAAATCCCTGTTGAAATATTTTCCCATTTGTATTGTAACTTACAACTTGTGACAATTATGTTCACATGATGCATACATTTCTGCATGAGGACAAACATCTAATTTTTTTCTTCAATTCTGCAGGCCATGGTTACCTTCAACGTAGTCCCAATTTCTCAGTTTCGAAAGGCAATATTCACCTTTTTCTTAATGATATCTTTGTTTTTGAATGTCTGATGATTTCTTTGCCTCCTCTACAAAATGTATGGCATACACACAGCTCAATGGTCAGAAACACAAGAACACAAGAAAGGTCCTCTCTCCACTGTGACCTTTCGGCCCCTCTAGCCCTCTTGGTAGCATAGAGACTAGTCTTCTTACATATTTAAAAGCAGGATGCCTGTTGACTCAGTAATAAGGAAGCCTTTATGTTGAGTTACTGCTGTAATGGAGATGTGTGATACCTGAACATCTGCATTTCTGGAGTTGATAGATGTTCTTTCTGTGCTGGTGTTCCGAGTTTGCACTTGTTCTTGGTAAGGAAACATGGGTGGCTGTTCATGCATGAATCTAGGTTTGAAAAGCTCATAGAAATACCTGACCTCTAGAGCTCAGGAATGAGAGAATGATAGTGTCTCCCTTCTTTGCTCTCCGGAGGCCTATCATAATCAGAAGAACTGCACTGTGACTTCTTGCATCCCCACGGTAGTAGTTAGTGACTAAGTAATCCAAGGATCTCGTCCAGTATTTTCTTGAAACAAACCAGGGTAGTCGGCTTCCACACCACAGCTAAGGTAGATTGAGCCCTACTCCCACCACCTTTTGTGTAAAGTGCTTCCTGCTCTCAATTGTAAATGTACTGGCACCTGCAGGGCTCAAGAATGGTTTGGCATTTCTTGCCTTCTCTCCATAGTCACAACACCAAAACCACCACGTGGCTGGATCCTCGGCTGGCCAAGAAAGCCAAACCACCGGAGAAGTGCGAGGATGGAGGTGAGTGTGAGCTGGTCCAAGGGCACGAGCTCAGCATGCATGCAGCGACCCCTCACTGCTCCGTGGTCCATTTCAGTGTCCACTAGGATGCAGTGTCTCAGCAGGCTTTTGTGAGCAGAGTCAGGTTTTGTTTTTAATAAATCAGTAGCTTGCAGCATCATTCTGGTGATGAAGTTGCAATGTAAAATGTATTGGGTTGCTGGAGGCATCATCAATCTGAGTTGGTTGCAGGTTTTACAGTGTCACCATGATGCCATCCTAAAGGGCAGTAGAGTGGTGCAGTGGTAAGGGTTCTGGACTCATAACTGGAAGGCTAAGGGTTCAAATCCCAGGTGAGATACAACTAGAGTACCTTTGAGCAAGTTGTAGCTGAATTGTTGCAGTAAAAATAAGTCCTTGTGAATAAAAATGTTAACCAGGCAAATAAATGTAAATGTCCTAAACGTGGCCATTACTTCCAGCTGTCCCTCATTTTTAAAGGTCTAGTGTATAGTTTTAAATAAAATTTAAATTCTTCCTTCACATGCTACTCAGTATTGGAAGGCATAGAAACTACAAAATGAATTATATTATTAAAAGCCAGGTGTTCAGCATGATTTTGTTTTTCCTTTTTTTTTTTACCAGTGGTTGAATTTAAATATGTACAAACAGAATATGTATGAACAGCAGAAATGAGAAAATGAGAGAAATATTTACTTAGTTGGAGGGCAGGAGCTGTAGATCTGGGTTTCTGTTAGTGAGCCTCTATTGAGTCATATTTTTGTCTTTATGGGCACATTATGAAATGAAACATTCGTATGCACATAAAATTCAATTTATGCCTACTGTTGCTAATTTTTCTTTTCAGTACTTTCAAAATGTTAGACACTTGAGTAATAAAAGGAAAATTGCAAAGCAGCGTGTGGGTGTTTGTTTTCTCCCCTGACAATTCCTCCCTTCTCACCTGTTACGAGTTAATTGGGTGTTCAGATATTTTTACTACCCAGATGTATTTTGAAAATGATGGTCACAGATCCATATACAGTAGGAATCAGATGGAGCAGCAGAAGAACATACGATTGCCAAAAGAGGGAGGCCATTCTGCCCTTCTGTTCCACTTGGTTGCTAGGTGGTTATTTTTTTACAAGGATATCACACAGAGTAGCTGTTTCCCCTAGGGAACATGGCTGTGTAGCTTGTTCCAGACACCCACCATTCTTTATGTAAAAAAGTGCATCATTCAGTAACTCCCAAGATTAACACGCATTAGTATTTTAGATACTTGCTCTGAATTCGGATGTTGATCACATGTAAAAAGTTATAATGGTATAGAGAAGTGTTGAGGGTTAAGGACAGGACTCAGACATGTGATGAGAAACCATACATCGGATGTTATTGCTACAATATCCACCTACTGTATAATTCAGACACTTGTTTATACCTTGTTTAAGTGTCATAAAGGTCTGGAGCAGGATAAGATCATAAAAGCATCCTTTAATACACTGGTTCTCAATCCTAGTTCTGATGGCCTACACACCTATTGGTTTTTGTTCCAGCCAAGCCCTCTATTACACCACCAAACCCTTCATTGAGATAATAATAAGATCAATTTGAACTGTTTGCTTCCAGCTTAAACATATTGGAGCTTTAACCATTGTATTTTGTGAGTGAAACAAAATCCCAGTTGTGACTAGGAGTAAAATGCAAATATTAAATTGAAGCTACTTCTTAATTGAACCCTTATTTGATTTCATCAAGGTGGGATGTAATGGGAACCTGCAGGTGGGTGGGTCACCAGGACCGGGACTGGGAACCACTGCTGTGCTGGGACAATCCTACTCTTGGCTGCTTTGCCGTTATCTTTCTCACAGCTCACAGCCTGTGCACTTCATTGCATTTTCACACTTCTGGGTCCTTATACAAACAAAGGGCTGACAGGGCGCATTCAGCACAAACATGAATAAACAGCTTTCTTTTTAGAATGTACTACAAGAGACAACCAGTGGGCTGAATAAGATCTGCAGCACTGCTTCTCTGAAAGGCTGTTTTAATGTTTCCTCTTGCGTGAAGGGCTGTATTCACACTGAGGGTTCATCACTGAAAGCTACAGGCTCACAGCTGAGAATTGGGCAAGTACTTCAACATGGTCTTATTGTATTATTGTGTTTCCTCTTTGCAGAGCTTCCGTATGGCTGGGAAAAGATAGAAGACCCGCAATATGGCACCTATTACGTTGAGTGAGTTTGCTTGCCCATAACCTGTGTCCGGGAGCATCAGGCTGCTCAGCATAAATTACACTAGTGGCGGATCTTTGAAATCTTGCAATCAGAGCTAAAAGCATGTGGATAAATTATAGTTTTAACGTGCTCAGCAGCTGGACGTGTGATAAAGTAATTGCAGTTTTCTCCTTTAGAGATTGTGACTATAAGTTACAGCTGTTTGTGATCTGTCTGTAGGAGGTGGACTGGTGTGGGTGTTGGGGGTGGGCTGCATTTATTTTATTAGCGGTGTTATACGCAGTGGGTTTGATTGTGTCTGTTGGTCCGCTCCCTTGTTGGAGAACATGCACAGCTCGCTGCTCACATGCACTAACACGAATCCCCAAGCCCTCCTCAGAGACACAGGACTCGTGGCAGTGGGAGTGGGGGGAGAACCAGGTGTGGGGATTCACTTTCAGTCTCATCTTTGTTAAGGCAGAGGGAAGAGAGAAAGGGAGAGAGAGTTTTCTTTAAAAGAAAAAGAAAAAGGAAACTAAATCCTTGATTAGTAACAGTTACCAGTAGGCAGAGAAGTGGAATGAAGAAGAAATTGAATGCCGCAGGTTGTGTTAGGAAGCCCCAGCATTGTCGCAAGAAAGGATGCTTTCTTTTGAATGAAGGTTGTCTCTCCCATTATGCCCTTACTGTGGTTGCAGTTCCAGCCAGTACTGTTATTTATCACTGTGGGCTCTTTGCATTCATTCCTAGTTATATTTTACATTTTCCTTTGGTGGTGATATAGGCTGGATCCATACAATAACACACATATAACAAGAAACCCTGCTTAGAAACTGGAGTATAAAATAATCAAGCTCTTTCTGTTTACAGTACATTACATCTTGTGGCTTAGAAGTAAAAAGAATGCAGGGTCAAAGCGCTTGACTCTGTTCGTAGGAGACATAGCATCTAATACAATTTGCACTTTGTGTTGGAAAAAAATGATTACAGAAACAGATAACATCTATGCAGATATTTCTACCGGCATTGTCATTTTCAAAATGTGAACACCAGCATTTCTCAGCCTTTTCCATTCCAACGCACACTTATCATATATCAAACTTTTGTGGCACACCACTCTATGTCCCACACGTCACCAGCCCAAGTGCATTATTATTTTTTTAACTTATTGATAATATATCATTTATTCATAGATATGTATTATTTATTGATATTATGAACAAGCCTTTGTGATGAATGTACAGTACAGTTATGTCACCCTGGAAGGAATGATGTCCTCAAACCGAAAAAAACAAACTTTCACCTCACACATGATTCCCACCTAAACATTCTTCTGTCTTGTGTTTACATGCCAAACCTGTAACACAACATTTTTCTTACCCCACAAAGCGGAGAGAAACAATAGTTAGTTTAGAGGTTGGAATGGGGTGCTGCCTCAGTCTGCGTTGGCTCCATAGGAACAAGTAAGGGTCCACTCCAAGCTGAAAAAGAGAGAGGACAAAACGCCACGTTTTGGCAATTGAGTCTTCTTCAACTGTGAGTGAGAGAGAGTGAGGTGGCTGTAATGTAAGGTGTTGGAGTTCTCGCTATTTGAGAAACGCTGGTCTGTCCTAATCTTCTACAATGCGCTGTCTGGTTGATGTTCAGTGGCTTGTATTCCCTGTTGCACTGCAGCCACATTAACCAGAAGACCCAGTTCGAGAACCCGGTTCTGGAGGCCAAGAAGAAGCTCAGCCAGGAGGCTCCCGCTGTTCCCCAGCAGGGGGCAGCACCCTCAGCAGGTACCTCCTCTCTTTCCCTAGGGGCCTGTTGTGCACCTTTTGATCTCTGACTGTACCTCCTGACAGATGGACTCTTTGAGGTTTGAGCCAAAACATCAGCATTAATTACACTACAGGGTGGCAGGATTGCCTTTGCAACATAACCGGGTAGGAATATGAAACACATGGCAGTTCTGACCTTAAAGTCCTTTGGTTGATGATAAGTGCAATTTAATGTCTCGCAGCTTTGGTTGTTGATAAAGAAAGCTGAGCTTTCAGTTTACAATGTCATCAGGTGGATGTCAATATGTAATGTGTATTTCCATATTCATATTGAAAACGTTTTGGAGAAGTGGAATGGAAAACGGGAGGAACGTTGGCACAGGGTGTAGCATTGTTGCCTTGCAGTTCTGGGGCACCAGGTTCAATCCCAGACCTAATAAGTTAGGTTCAATTCCTAACTTAAGGCCTGGGGTGCTATCTGTGTGGAGTTTGTGTGTTCTCTCCGTGTTTGTGCTCCAGTTTCCTCCCACAGTCCAAGGATATATGGTACTGGCAAATTAATTGGCTTCTGGGATAACTGGCCCTAGGTGAGAGTATCTGAATGTCTGTGGTTGTGTCTGTCTGCACTACAACAGACTGGCGTCTTGTCCAAGATGTACCCTTCCTTGTGCCCATGACTTGCAGGCATAGGCTCCAGCTTTAGATAAATACCCAGGGCCTGATGGTATTACACCCTTTGTATTTAAGGAACAAAATGTTATTTGTATTTGTTATTTGACATTAACAGATCCCTGTAGCCATTCATAAGAGGACAAATCCAATAAGTCTTCTTTAACATGAAATATTATGGAAACAATAATTAGGACTCAACTAGAGGATCATCTCATTTTCAAGGTCTAGTCACAATTGATTTAGAAAAGGTAGGGCTTGCTTAGCTATCTTGCTAGGTTTGTTTGACAGTCAACAACAGCAATGAATGTGAACATATGTTTGCATTCTTTGCTGATATTTTTAGATTGTGTGTAAAATTTAGATTTTATAAGGAATTTTGATATCATAAAGGATTTGCCTAGTATTGAATTGAGAGCTAGATATTACAATAGATAGAAAACTAAATACAGATCCTCAGATTGGTATGATGTCACTGGAGGAGTGCCACAGGGATCTGTACTAGCACTACTGCTGTTCTTAATCTATATTAAATGATTTGATTCTAGCATGCTTTATAAACGAGGCAGGTTTATAGATGATGACAAAATGTGAGGATTCAAGAAAAAATCAAGACTGGGTAAACACCTGGTAAATGACATGATACATGCAAAAAAATAAACTATTAACATAAGATGAGAAACGCCAAGCATGAAGAAGCTGCCCTTAAAATTCCATAAGTATTGATGCTGACACATTAGTTACATCTTCTAGACAATGTGGAGCAGCAATGAAAAAGCAAAAGGAATATAAATGGAATTTAAGATGTATAATTAAAAGTACAGAACTTAAATTAAGGGGTGTTATGATAGAAATGTAGAATGCACTTGTAAGACCTCATTTAGAGCATATTATGTGCAGCACTGATTGACATATTACAAACAATATGTATTATCTATCGTAAAACCCTCTGTCCTAGCTACATTCTGTTAACGGAGTTGTGGGTTCTTGTGTTGGCGACTTTGAAATGTTTGTTGATAGTGCATTCAATTGATTTGCTGATAGTTGTATCAAATTTAATATTGCACTCGCTTTAAACATGTTAATGGTTCTTTCTTGTTAATCATCACTTCAGTCTTAAAAATGCCCTAGAGACATTCACATACACTAACAGAGATATAAATACATAACCTTGTTGCTCACACATTCTGTGTCAATTAGCTAAATGCTTGCAGTAAATGAATTGCTTCTCTGAGGATTAAATACACCTCCTCCTAGTTTCTGAATCTGTAGCTTCACACCTCTCTGTGCTTGTTGGCAGCCATTCTCACACCTTGCCTTGCATCTTGAGTTAATGAAAGACTGGAGGATGTGAGCCCTCCTCAGACTGGTTTTTCTTCCCCTCTTCGTTTGTCCTCCGATTCCTAGTGGCCAGCACTACACACAAGTTTCCATCTTTATGTCACACTGCCTTGACAAGATGTACTTACTGTAGATCCAATGAAATTTTAATTGCTTTTGAAATTGAATACACAAGCACTAACAGTGAATATGAATAAAACGGACACTGTATGTTGTCTTTGATTTCTACAGTGTCAAAGAGGACCATGAATAAAATATAAAACAATTATAATATTATGGATTTGTAAGATTAAATTGTAAACTATTTAAGCAGATTTATAGTTGTGCCTTAAATGGCTTTAGCACAGTTTTTGTGAGCTTTTCTAGGAGTGAATATCTGTTTGCAGTGCAAATTTATGTTGTTGCACCATGGGGATGCAGCATTATTTTATAAATCCTGCGGCATTTGGAGTGGTTTTCAATAATTTCATGGGTTTTGGGGTGGCAGCTGCTCCAAATATGCAATAGAATAGGGAGACATAGTATTGACTCAGAGCCTTTGTTCAAGCTACAGTATGCATTTGCGGTGGCGGTCCTGCACAATACTTGCACTTTAAAAGTACAGTAGTGGGAAAATACGTCTTTTACGGGGTTGGTTTCTTTACTGAATGTATTGATGTCAGAGGTCCTCCACACCTTTTGGGGGCACTGTGGCTAATATGCATTTTTTAATGTCCATTTAGAAGTACCATTCACTACAGAAGTTCCCATCTTCAAATGCTTCTCCTAGCAGGTGAACTTGGCAAGATTGGGCTCAACATTTCTTGGCTCAGTGATATAGAATGAACATTTTCCAAGGAAGTATGTAGCTCCTTTTTAGACATGTTTTAGATAAGTAGATCTAAGTTTCTGATAAGAAATTGAATCCTGGTCTTCCCCAGAGAGTGACAAAACGCATCAAAGTAGCACCCATATTGCAGACTCTTCAGTGCAGAATGATCTGTCCACTTCAGGACTTGAGAAAAATAAAATAACAAGAGCGTTAGTAAAATATGAGACGTACTCCTTCTTGTGACAGATCTTGGTTTATTTTTCAGTGGGCACCTCGGAAGGCCAAGAACATTATTTACAAGCTTTGAGAGGCAAGTGAAATTGGAGAAATAAAAACCAATAGGAAATTAAATGACTCCTGGAAGAATTCTGGAAAACCATGACCATAAAATATTAACATGGCTCCTACGTAGCTCTACCAGCAAAGACTCCTTCTGGAGCACACATTCGTCCCTATGGTTAAATAATAACTTGTTCAAATTGGGACAGTATCATTAAGGGATTGGATAGGGATTTCTCCGGCAGTGGTGCACCGTTGTCTCGCTGTGGCTGACTGAGTTTTGTATTTAGCTAGGGCATTCTCAGCTCGCTGCATAACAGGGACCCCTGGGGTTTGCTTGAATGCCTTTGAGCTTTCAGCCTTTGAAGAGTGAGTGGCATCACTCATCCATCTGTTCCATCTGTTGCAGTAATCTGCTGTTGAACTATGAGAGACAAAGTGTGAAGGGAAGACAATGGTCATAGAGGACACAATTGTTTTGTAAATGTATAATCGCCAGTTATTTTTGTAATACCCATCCCAGTTTGGAATAGCTCGTTGTTTATTTTAGCTCATTGTTACAAACCCCATGACTTCACTCAGGAGAGAATTAGGAAGTGCAGTCAGACTCCTCTGACCCGTCTGCTTTTGAAACTCTTGTCTATCAGAAGTTTGGTACTGCTAGGAGGAGATGTATGTCCCTCACTGCCAGAAGCACATGGCTGCATGTGTCTGCTGTGTAACTGAGGCCCTGGCTGACCAACACCCCCTATCTCTTGATTGTTGAACTTGAGGTTCAGCCAATTGATCATCACTTGTGAAATCCAGGTCACAGTCAGCTAGTACCATGACCCAAGCTTGAACCCATAATTAAATGCATTCAGCCGAGCAAGTGTTCATTTTCGTCAAAGACTGCCAGCTACAAACCTGGGGGAGAAAAGCAACAAAGCAGCCCCACATTTCAATATGATAAAAACGAAGAGCAAATAATCGAAACACACAGACATGCAGGTGTCCGTTTTATAATAACACAGCTGGCTAAAGTCATCATTTCCTCTGAACGGCTGAATTAATTCAAATATTTGGCAACTAATAAAAGGGGATTAGGAAAGAGCTGACTGAGGTCTGGTGACCAGGCTTTGTATTGCCGTGGAAAACAGCTGGAAGATCCAGAAAAGCCACTTGAAATGAGCCCTGAACATTGGGTGCACACTGGGGAACGTCCTTGTCTTTCTTGTGGAAATGTCCTGGTCCTGAGACAGTGTTAGTCTTTCACTTTTTTTGGTCATTGAGAAAATATCTCAGCTCTTCAGGAGCCGGCACTCAAAGAGTCATCCCTCTTCATCAAGATTCATAAATATAAATTAAATTGCTAATGGATGGTTAGACAGCAGGGAGTCCCATGTGTCGAGCTTTTAAATAGTGTTTTGACAAGGTTCTTCAATCTGACCTTGCAAAGCAGTAGCGGCACTGTACTAGCTTAGTAATTACAAGGCAACAATCCTTTTGACATTTATATTCTAATCTCAGTTTTAAAAAGCTGCCTATTGGTTTGGGAATGATGTGTTAATCATGTTGGTATGAATGTTGCTGCGCCTCTTTGCTGGTTTATTATTTCTGGAATGCCAAGTGTGTGCTCACTCGGAACGGCTTCCCTGTACTGATAAATTGAAGAAAAGCAGTTTAGTTATGCAGATCTATTCTTTTTAGCCCTCTTTCCTTTCATCGGCCATAAAATGCACTAGAAATATGTATGGGAATAAGAAGTTGCCCCTGCCTCCCCAGTGTGCCAAAACGAGGTCAGAGAGGAGTGATGTATTACGTGTGTGTGATAGTTTAGGAAAGGAACGGACACTCATAGACACAGGGAATGTGTATCACATTCGTTTCTTCAGGTCCCTAGTCCTTTGCAACTGGTGACATCTCAATAATGCTGTTCTGCTGCAGAGCTTTTTGATTACACTGTATCAATTTCTATAAAAGCATGCCAATTTAAATTAAGACATGTCAATGTTGATAATAGTGCATCGTAGATATTATATTCCTGTACAGTACAAAGGATGGATGTAGTCCCCAGTCATTCAGCTGAAGAAGCAGCCAGCTGTACTGTAGACTGCATAGTGAAATCTTAAGGACAGCTCTACTTGCCACAGGGAAGACTAATCACTCACTATACAGAAACTGCCAGCTGTCCTTGAGTCCTTGCTTATTCGCATCCTGTTTGACTCCGTACACATGGAGCACAGAGGTGAACAGGTTTACTTTGAAGTGAAACTATGTACCTTCTTAAGGGTCAGGACCTTTCTTAATCAGTATATCGCTATGTTGTGCTGTATGCTGTGTTTGAGGATTCTGCTCACATATTGTGTTGCACAGATACCTTGCTGCTTTCGCTGAAGGGGAAAAAATTTAACAGCTTGTCAGTCTCTCCAGCTGGACGGTTGAGCCGTTACTTTGAATTTAAAATGATAAAATACTAATTTTTCCCACTTTTTGTGTAACTGTGTCGTTAACTGTTTTCTGTCTTGGGTCTGCTTGTCTTCATGTCTATGATCAGGAGGAAAAAATTAAGTGTGGAGAAGTAGCACTTCTCCAGAGATTTAAAACTCCTTTCATAGATGCACATTTGTGTATGTTTTGACACTGAGGTGCACACACCAACATAGCCCTCTGACATGGAGAATTAATGATCAAGAGGAGCAATGTTGCCTTAATAAGCTTTTCCAGCGGTGTGAGTCTGGATGCACTGAACCACAGAGAACCACTTACCACACTGAGTTGTCAAATAAACATTACTTTTAAAAGCATTCAATTGACAAGCAAGGCACTTTCTGAGAGTGCAAGCGGAAGCCTGCTGTCACGACACTGCCAGTTCAAGAGTGGCACCAAGTCCAACATTGACCACGATTCTCCAAGTGGCTGAGCATCTCTTGGGCTGGTAGGCCTTGAGTCTTGCTTCCTGGCTTCTACCACAACAGTAACTCTTGAGACCAGCTAGTGTCCTGCTAGCTTGCAATGTCAGTGGGAGAATTGATGGTAACTGTCCTGTAAGGCAGTGTGGAGCTTGCAGAGAGTCAGAAGAGCAAGGTGTTTGATCTCCCCGTGTGGTGAGAGCACTGCAACTGTAAAACCTTAGTCATAGTCATAGATACTTTGTCTCTCCTGCTAACAGATGTATAAATAGCAAATGATTGACAAGTTCATTTTAAAAAAAGAAAACTCACTGCTGAAAGCATGAATAGATCTATTCATTATGTGTTTACCATTGGCTTAGAAATCTCACCTTTTCTTTAAGATGATGCTAAATAGGATAAATCTTAATTAAGAAGATGGATTGAGTGGCATCTTTCTTTTAGAGCTGTTGCTAGGTGCAGGACCAGAGCACCAGAACCTATTGCCTTTGTAATGAAACTTGATTTTAATGGAGCCTGTCAGTTTTAGAACCAAAAGCTTCTCAGAATAGTTACTGAGATAAATAAAACATGGTGTCAAACGTTTCAGCTGAAACAAAAGGACAGGCTGCAGATGGTATGCGGTCTGTGATCAAACTTGTTTCCATCCCAGCTTGGCTGTTTCGAAAAGTTGAAGTATCGTGGGATATAAAGAAACTGGGGAATCCATTCACCTGGAAGCAGTCTCAGTTACCAGAGGAAGATGCAGCCGTGTTCTCAGGCACAACTCACTGAGAAGACGTAAACATTTGCCCAGTGGGACTTGCTAGGGCTTGAGGATTTTTTTTGTGGCTGGCCATCTGCCTCACAATGTGTAGATTTATAGGTCTATGATGATAATGAAGGAACTTTATAAAGAAAAAAAAATGTTAAATGATTATGGCTCCCCCCTTCTCTTGGGTTCTCGGGAGCAGGTTGTTTTCTGTGTAGAAGTAAGTGCCCACCAATTTTAACACCCCATAAATGTTCAGCTGGCATTCAAATTTGAGGTCAGAATTGGGTCTTCTGTGTTGGACTTTGTAACTTGAATGAATTGTCAGTTATGTTCATAAAGCATTTTCCACTCAATGTACCCATAACCTTTGGGAAGAAATGAATATACTGTTCTGGGACTGCTGTCCTGAACGATGTTTGTGAAACCTCATTGATTGGATTTCCAAAATGGGGAAAACAAAAAGTATAAATACAGGGTTAGTCAAAATGCTGTCGACAACATTGACAGCTTATTACAAATTACACGGGTTACTGTTTCAAAGGAAAGCATGAATATCAAAGTTTCTAACAGTTAACTGACATTCCTTCGATATGGGCCCCACGTGTGACCCTGTACACCTCAATGCACTAATCAAATTCCTGCCACACTTTCACCAGCATATTGCTGTCAATCTGGTCGACAGCTGTAGTGACACATCCTCGCAATTTTTGCAGAGTGCAGGTAGGGGAGGCACAAACACACTATCTTTCACAAAACCCCATAGATGAAAATCTAAGGGGGTGAGGTCCGGTGATTTTAACTGTACTTGTCGACAGCATTTTGACTAACCCTGTACTTAGAGGCCTGTTCTATTCAAATTGCCACTCCCCAATGTCATGAAGATCTCAATATCATATTACAGGAGAAATCTCACCTCGACTCTTAGGAGCTGCAGGGTGCGCAAGGGAGCTACCGTGCGGAGACCTTGCTTGTGGTTGTGCTTTGGGTTTGACGCCGGGGCGCTGTACTCCTACCGTCTTCCTCACAGCTTCTCCTTTCAAACTCTCAGAAGAGCGAGCCCGGGGCTTCACCCGGGATCCGCTGCAGCTGCAGGGCACCATGATCCGCACGGCGCTGAGGAAGAGCGGCCAGGGGTTCGGCTTCACCATCATCGGGGGCGACCGGCCGGACGAGTTCCTGCAGGTGAAGAACGTGCTGCGAGACGGGCCTGCTGCACAGGACAACAAGATGGCCCCCGGTGAGTGCAGAGCCCACGGAGTGCTCCACGCTGTTGCGCTGAGCTGCGCGGGGGTCTGCGCTATTCCCGCTGCAGGGAAGCTGATGGCTTAACAGCAGCTAATGTCAGCCCCCCGGCTCTTGTGGAAGATGCAGTGACTGAACAGACAGGCAGGTTTTATACGTACGTCTGTTTATGTAACAGTCCTCAAAATTTATGTAAATGTCCTCTAAGTTAAAAAAGAGATGCCTGTTACGTGGCTCTTAGTTAAATGAGAGTTTGCAGGTTTTGTTTTTAGGATCTTAGAAATGTTTTGGATTTTTTGACTGGAACAGACCAGCAAAGAATTGTTTTTCTGTAACCCTAGGTGCCCTAGACGGAAGGTGTGTTAGGAAAATGCTGTGCTTTTAAAATACCAATCTAATTTTGACATGATGTGTTACGAACTGGGAGTGATGTCACGGGGTTCATGTCTACAGGGGATTTGAGACTTGAAATCACGCAATTTCCCCTTGTAATCATTATCGCCTTCATGTTCCCCTGCCCGTGCATCCAGGCACACGACAGTACTGAATGTACTATGGGAATTGCCCAGCAGGGCAAGACTGAGAAGCTCTGTGCTCTGATAACACATTCACCAGTTTTTCCTTGGAGACAAAATAGAAGGACATGTCAAGACAATGCATCGATCTAACAATTGGCTGGAAACAATCAAGGACACTTTGGCTGTCCAAACCTGCATTAACACCAAATTAATTGCATATTGCATGGATTAGTAATTGCTATTCAACAGATTTTCCTGATAGAAACTTTGCAACTTTCTGCCTTTAGGATCTGCTTGAACTCAGACTGTCAGTTCACTCTATAAAATAAGTGTGAAATCACATTCTTGAGAAAGACAGGGGCATCACGTTTTGTGTTCCTTTTTGATTTTTTTTCTGCACCCAAGATCTTACCCAGGATTCATTCTGAGGTGTAGTGCTTTCAAAGAGCAGCTCTGTGTTGTATTCCCCTCGCGTGGTATTGATCCTGCCTGAAGCTGTGCTAATGAAAGGATGTGCTGCTCCTCCAATTGGAAGGAAAACAGCATGAGATGGATTGGCATTTTGTGGGGAAGAGGAGTTGAGAAATACTAAAGAATCAAAATAAGGCATGAGAGCACACAGGGACCTCAAGGGGCAATCAGAACAGAGGGATGGAAATAAAGTTCTCACTGCAAGCAGCATGATCCACTTCAGGTTTTGCAAGCAGTAGGCCCTTGTACAAAGTATATTGATGAAGCAGGCTGTGTGCAATGTGTGTGAACTGGTTTGAAGTGCTGTGTGAACCTGAGAATGCAGAGTGCTCTGTTTCCAGCTGAATATTTTAGTCTTACAGTACGGTATAATTTTCCTGGTGGGGGCGCTAGTAAGTTCATACCTACGAAGCTGCCAAAGGAAGACGCATACAAAGAGGGGAAAAAAACGGGGAAAAACAGGTGGAGCAGGGAATTTGTCTCTTCGTAAAAAGAGCAAATCCCGAGTGGATTGTATACAGTACCTGTTTATCAAATGGAGAGAGATAGAGAGAGTTTATCAAATTGTGTGCAAATGGTACAAAGAAAACTGACCTTTTGTGTCGAACAGCTGGACAGTTTAGATGGGCTGTGAACATGAAGCGAGCTGGATTCATTTTCCATTGATTTATTTTCCCCCCTTTGTCATTGTAAATACCATAATGTGTGCTTATGCACTGAATTACAAGTGTGAGGCTGGCATCTTTTGTCCTATCATGGCAGAACAAGTCTTGTTCCTTACTCTGTCACAGTAACTTTATTCCACTATCTAGTGCCCGCTGTTTGTTTGTAAAGAGACTGCTTCTTTCGTGAAACCTGCTGTAGCTCAAGCTGCTACATTATCTCCAGGGCGCATTGAGTCACAGATCTGGCCATTATTATAACTTCAGTTCAGTCTGATTCTTAATATCTGCCTACCTGCTGGTATGAGGTTAACAACACTCTCCTCCCTCGCAGGGGACGTCATTGTGGACATAAACAGCACCTGTGTACTGGGGAAGACTCATGCAGATGTGGTGCAGATGTTCCAGTCCATCCCAGTGAACCAGTACGTGGACATGGTGCTGTGCCGGGGCTACCCTCTGCCCGAGGACACCAGCAGCGAGCCCAGCGATAGCGACATCGTGACGGCGGTGCCCCTCATCAACGGTCACCCGCTGCACGTGAAGGGCGAGGCCGCCCACGGCTCGCAGGAGCTGCACTTTGTCGCCGTGGACCCCGGCGGCCGGCAGGTGGTGCCCACCGTGCCCAACGGCCGCTTCCCTGACCTTCAGGACGCCACCCTGCTGCAGCCCGAGCTCGTAACCGTGCCGCTGGTCAAGGGCCCCGCCGGGTTCGGCTTCGCCATCGCCGACTGCCCGCTGGGCCAGAAGGTGAAGATGATCCTGGATGCCCAGTGGTGCCGGGGGCTCCTGAAGGGCGACGTCATCAAGGAGATCAACCGGCAGAACGTGCAGACGCTGAGCCACGCGCAGGTGGTGGACATCCTGAAGGAGCTGCCGGTGGGCAGCGAGGTGGCCGTACTGGTCCTGAGGGGCGGTGAGTGAGGGAGGGGGGCAGGGCCTTGAGGCTCATCAGCTAGACAGTGTCGGTAACGAGTCTACAGGCCCGCAGACAATCCAATTAGGAAAAATGGCAGGCAGAGCTTCAAGAATCCCAAGTTGAAAAAATTAGTAGTTTTCCAACCTGATTGAAGATGTAGTTAAGTAGTAGAAGCCTGATGGTTTTGTCCTTTTTCAAATCATTTGCTCTTTGTCAGTGTCACCCATCTTTAGACCACAGCAATCACAGCAATCCCCATCTCCTGCCCCATTCTCACCTCATGCCCGCAAAAGCTTGTGTGCTCTACTCTGTGACCAGTATGTGGCGCAAACACCCTTTTTCATTTCTGTTTTTCATTTTAGACGCGTCCGCTCGGAAATTTCTAGTTGTCTGTTTGAGTCTGGGTGGCTCACAGTAATGTCTCCAGTTGAGCAAAGGAAGAACGGGGATGGGCAGACAAGCTCTTCTGACCCACCTGGCCATTCAACCATTCATTATTCACCTCGCTGCCAGCTTCACAGCGCCTGACAGATGAGTGCGAGGAGCAGAGCATCTCGCTGACATCCCTGAAGGCGCCTGGGAGGTTGCAGTGTTGTTGTTTGATGGAAGGCTGACAAATCCCAACTCTGCCTCTGCAGAGCTCTGCCAATTGCGTGTCACCGCCTTGGGAATCCAGTTCACAGTCAGTTACTGACACGACCGAGGCTTAAGTTGGCAGAACCCGGATCATAGAGCTTAACCTGTGCTCGGAGTCTTTACTGACTGGGTCGCTTGGGAGCCCACAGATACCATTAGTGAAATAAGCGGTAACAGCCGAGCACCAACAAGTTGTTTCTCTATAGAATAATACTGTTGAAGGATGTTAGCTGTCAGGCAGAAGTCGTGTTCGTTTTGGATTCAAATCATTGTGGACTTCTTTGTAATTTGCCTTTAATAATTACAAAACCTGACTCTAATATAAAAATGACACTCTTGTTCTACAAACATTTTTATGTAACATCTCCAAGATAATTATCCAAAAGCAAGCCCAAACCTTGTTTCTGAGCATCACAGAAGGTATTTGTTTTCAGTTGCTCACTTCTTGGCAATTTTAGAGAGCTGGGCTCGATTTTATTTTTGAATGACAGCTGGATCAACCAGTGTCCTTATCCCATATAATTCATTTGTCGTAGACTGTAAAGGGCTTTGTCAGAGAATTGTCAAAGTCCAGATATAGCAGTATCTCTCCCCTCAAGCTGCTATAAAGGTAGAAAGACAAGATAAGGAAATGTCATGCTCCAAGCTCGTCTCTTCATCTGTCTGATTGTTGGCCAGCAGATAGGAAAAGGATCCCCGATCACAACTGGGGGTCACTTTTTTTGACAGCAGATGCATTACACTCCCTTTTCTAACTCCACCACATATAAGGACAGAAAAAAAAACAATTGTATAAAACCGCGAGAGACAGCTCGTTTGTTATTACTTGTGAGAGGACAGTCTTTAAGCAATTTTGCACACTTTACCAGTGGAGTGAAAATGGGTTCCCTGAGCTGTTAAATACATTATTTTCCAATTTGCCTCTATTGGTTTCAGTTTAACCTTTTCAGATAAAAACCCTGGAGGCGACTGATAGGATACAGTAAACAGACCTGTGTGCAGCATTGCAGTTTTGTTACCTACTAACTTCCTTTTTTGTGAACCTGTGTTGCACCGCATCATGGTTTTAAATCGTTTACCTACACATCATATTCCATTGCATTTATAACAGGAGCTACAGTAATGCAAACTGACACTCCAGACTCGGATTTGTGAATTTCTCAACTTTGCACATAGTCCTGTCCAAAAGGATGTTGATTCTTTCTTTCTCATCCTTTTGTCTCTATTCTCTTTTGCCCCTTTCTATCTAATCTTTTCGCTCTGCCAGCTACTGTATGTGGCACCTTAAACTGTCTTTTTTATCCATTCTCCCTGTCTCCTGATAGCAAGGCTCCAGGGAGTAGCTGCATACAATTATCAAGCAGATAACAGGGGCTGGATATTTATTTCGGGATGGTTAACAGAGCAGTTAATGTGTTTATAGTCTTTTTACATGGTAGATTTTCAGTTATATTATTTCTGAAGAACAGGGAAAAAATCATTTTGTTTATTCATGCATTAGAATGACATGGGAATCTTGACGTTAGATTTGAAAAGAAGTTCCAGAGCATGGGCAGAATGGAGATCATATCCTCAATGAAAAATATGCAACCGACAGGATGTCCAAAATAGTCATTTTTGTAGGGTCTCTTGGTATACAGTGTTTTTCCTTATCTCTTCCTCCCCTTTTTGGTTTCCCTTTTATTCCCTTTTTTGGGCAACCCACAGGTTAAGCAGGTATGAGCCTGTCCAGTACCTGGATGAGAGACCTCCTAGGAAAACCTAAAGGTTTCTGGTGTTAGTGGGACCAGTAAGGGATGCTAATTCTATGGTTTGTGTGGGTTCTAATGCCCCAGTATAGTGAGGGGGACATTGAGCTGTAAAAAAGTGCCATCCTTCAGATGATTATACGTAAAACCAAGGTCCCGACTCTCTTTGGTCATTAAAAATCCCAGTGCGCTTCTCAAACAGCATAGTGTTACCCCGGTGTCCTGGCCAAATTTCACCCTGGCCTTTACCAATCATGGCCTCCTCATAATCCATATCTATGAATTGGCTTCATCAGTCTGTTTTCCTCCCCACTGAGAGTTGTGTGGTGAGCGTTCTGTGTCATATCATCCAGGTGGATGCTGCACATTGGTGGTAGTGGAGGGGATCCCCATTACCTGTAAAGTGCTTTAAGTGGAGTGTCCAGAAAAGCACTACAGTATATAAGTGTAAGGAATTATTACTATTAATTTTGTTGTTCTATGTAAATTCCTTGGCTTTCACACATCTGTGTGTAAAACACATCTGTATAATTCTTGGTTTGTATTGGAAATTGAATTGTCTCTCTCCTGAATAGGTGAACACTTAACTGAATACTGAAAAAAGTGAGATAATGAGCAGTTTAAAAGCCTTTGTTGTACATCAACACTTTTAATGATACAGAAGGAGTTTGCAGGGTTTCAGAGCAGTAGAGCTGTTTTCATTTTTCAAGCATGCTCTTTCTGTGCTGGCTACTTCAGTTTTCTTTGTTTTTTGAGGGGTTTCTTTGGTTTTTAACATTATTATTTTATTTGGGTTTTTTTCTTGTAAAACTATGCATTGGTTAAATATCGAGATCTTTCATCTTTAACTCTGCATTTTGTGTTGGAAAGATTAAGAACAAATTGAGGTATGAAACCTCAGATGGGAAGGTACTGAAGAATTTATGCAGTATGAAAGCTTCCCTGAAAACACATGTGCTCTCTCTTACACACACATTGAGACAGACGGGGAAGCAGATGTTGTGCTGATTTCTGGCTCCTCCTGACATCAAACTATGTGATCACTGCTGCAATTCTCTAGCCTGATCAATTTGTTTTTTTTCCTTGTTTCGATTTGTGGATCTAGTGCCCCCTAGTGTGTGAAATGTTAATGACATCACTCTTTAAAGTAGACTGGGGAGATTAATGATTTAATGTTGAATGCCCTAGCTTTCGAAATGGTTAGGGTCCCCCTCACTTCTCCCTCTCTGCTACAGATGATTAGGCAGTTTTTGTAGAATAAAGGCTAAGATAAGGAGTGTTGTGCATTGGTCTTTGGCACATCAGTAGTAATCCGTGTAAGTTTTTCTTTTACCTGAACAAGGAACCTGAAGTTTTAATTTGCTACCTCAGCCAGCCCACGCTCCGTGAATCCCTCGCTCATCTCTTTTTCTGCCTTTTCTTTCTCCTTTTCCACCTACAGGTCAGACATCTCCAGTGAAGTCTCTTAAACCTGTAAGTTCAACTTATTTTTAAAAATGTTTTCCTCATTTTTCTAGGATTGAACACATTTGTGGAGTTTTTAAAGCATGATCTCTAATGTTAGCAGAAATATTAAGTCTAAGTCAGGTGCACTGCTCCCCAAAGGAACCTTTATAAGCCACTAAAATGCACTGCATTAAAATGCCCAGTACATTAAAAATCTACTGGTTTGCCAGAACTGAGGATGGTAAATTAGATCCAATAATGTTATTTCCATTTATGTTCTCTCTCTGCTACCTCTTTACTCACATTTAATATTGATCCATTTTTTGGACATTTGTATTCATGATTAAAAAATCTGAAATACTATTTATTTAGTTATGTCTAAGATGACATTATTAGAACACTAAGTTGTAGTGCCACATTTTCATGCATCCCATGACCACCCATTAAATGGTTGTATCTAAGGTGAATCAGTTCTGAATCGGTACTGTGTCAAGCAGAAGTAAAAGAGGTGACAGTCTGCATTGTAGAAGCAGTTGTTGGAATCGTAGTTTTTGTTTCTTACGCGTGTCCTGCTCTAGAAACCGGAGATGGCGGCCAGCAGCGACACCCTGCAGGCTCAAGAGCAGCCGCCCCAACCCCTGCCCTTCCCTCCTAACGTGGTGCGTTCCAACTCTCCCAAACTGGACCCGTCGGAGCTCTACATGAAGTCCAAGGCCATCCTGGAGAGCAAGCGTAAGTACATGTAGAGCACATGTGGAGCTCTACATGTAGAGCTTAGCTAGAAGGAAAACGAGCAGACAAAATGTTCCTGCAGGACCAGAGTTGGGGACCACAGCACTAAGAGATGAGCATATTTATTGAAAAGCCCCTCCACCTCTGTAGTGCAGATTTGTTTTATATATATAAACAATCCGGTACCAAGACCAAAATCCTGCCAATTTGTTAAAAAGGCAAATTATTGGCTGCCTAAAGTTGATTGATTAACTTCATTACACCACACAATAAATTATAAATGGTAAGAGAAAAGGAATGCAAAGCCACAGATCCTGAAAGGCATGGGGTTTCTTAGAGGTTTGTTTCTGGCCATTTGAAAGGAATGTAATCACAGATCAGCATAATTAGAACAGTTTTTAAATCCATCATTTAAATTCTTTCTGTGAAGAAGCTGACAGAGCTGAATTTCCTAATTCCAAGAAGACGAATGACCTCAAACCCACTTCCAATAAATGCCAAACTGTGTTTCAAGTTACAAATGATTTTTATTGGAAGGAAGAGTTTGTGTTTGTTGAGAGCCCTAATGTGTCGTGATGCAGTATGTCAGAACCCTCTCCTTTGCAGTCCAAGGTTGGATTTAGATGAAGACAAGGGTCCACTTAATTAGGAACATTCTGCCAGGGTGCTCCAGGGTTGAAGTTTACCTTTGCTGGATGGGGTTAGGACACTGTTTTGTCCAGTTAAAATTCTATTTTGGGTTGATATTATGAAGGATTATGCAGAACATTGAGTTGAGATGTGGTGGCATTACCTGATATGTATAATGTACAGTATTTGTTGGATTGACGATGTAAAAGAGTTTATAGGACAAGTCAACCATCCTGTCTGGATACACCAAGCAAGCAACTTCTCATGAGATTACAAAACTCAGACAGCTAATAGGACATTAAACAGAGAATCATATTTAGTGCTCTGTTTATTAAACTCACCCCAGCCGTATCTGCTGAAAATGTCATTTTATTTTTTGTCCAGAGTAAGAAAGAGATTAATGAATTCACTTATGAGTTTCAATGAGAGAAGCTGCTCTCCTGTTCAAACCTTAACAGAACTTTCCGAATGCGTTCTGGGCTCATTCTAAATTCATGGAAGCTGCAGATCCCATGACTCCCCCAGCATTATGAGGGGAGTTCCTGCTTCCCTTCCCTCTGATCTCTGACCCCTAACCCCTGACCTCTGTCTTCTGTTCTCCTCCAGCCCCCAACACGAAGGACCTGGATGTGTGCATCAAAAGGAACCAGGAATCTGGCTTCGGATTTCGAGTTTTGGGTGGAGAGGGTCCGGACCAGCCAGTGAGTCCTGTCATGTCCTCAAGGGACTGCATCCCTCTCAAACCATTGACATGGCAACTTCCTTGTAATTTACATCACTGCTCAAACAGTGATCTGCAGTAAGACCATGGAGATATTCATGGCCTTGGCTTTATCTGCTTACCATTATAATGTGCTGAATTTCCAAATAATTGACCAAAGTCCATATGTAATGCAACTGCTCCATCTAATGCATACTGTATATTTCAGGAGCTATTTCAAAAGGAAAGTGGTGCAAAGATTATTTTTTTCTTTTTCCATGGCTACATTTTCTGAAAAACATCTACATTGTACAAATCACTTCTCATTTGAATCTGTTTTTTTTTAACTGAGATTATAATATTGTTACCAATAATGTTATTAATGACTAGAATTCATATTCTCCCCAAGTTGTTGCTTCTGCCACGTCCCCACTATTTTCTCTAGACACTTCATTAGGAATTCACATGGACTCGACTCTACTGCAGAACAAACGCCAGCCCCGGTGCTGTGTGGTGCCCACGTCAGCGTTCTGACTGTGCGACTGCTTCCTGCCAGGTGTACATCGGTGCCATTGTGCCCCTGGGAGCGGCGGAGAAGGATGGGCGGCTGCGTGCCGGAGATGAGCTCCTGTGTATCGACGGGGTGCCAGTCAAAGGGAAATCTCACAAACAGGTCCTGGAGCTGATGACCAACGCGGCTCGAAATGGACAAGTCGTGCTCACTGTGCGCAGAAAGGTGGTCTACAAAGGTGATGATGATTATAATTATTGAATCTTTTTAGATTTCATAGATTTGTATATTATAATAAAATTATGTACTGTGTGTATACTCATATAGAGTCACATACACAGAAGTTGGCTTTTGTGGCTTCCTAACAGATTCTGCCAATTTTAAGATAAGCAGCCCTGATGTACATGTTATTTACACAGCTTAACACCAAGCACAAAAGGGAACAGACGTAAACACAGCAGTACCTGGTATTTCAGCCTGCTGCCCTGTACTGGAAAATCTAAAGTCCTTGAGGGCCAGAGTACTACAGGCTTTGAAATATTTATTTTGATAAACTACTGTTTAAGACTTTAAAAAGGTTTATATGATTTATTTTCTAAATAATTGTTTTAAGTATGCATCCTTAGGCTCTTAAGGATTGGAGTCACCTCATCCTTGATGCAGATGCTAATAATGTTTATATACTGGATTTTGTGATGCTTTGGGGAAACTGGAAAATTCTGCGGCATGCATTTTTGGGGGATCTTTTTATCCAGAGTGTAGTGCTTCTGGATTTCTGCAACCCAGTAAAGCAGTTATCCTCTATTTGGCAATGCATGGATGACACTTACAAAATATTTAACCGTGAGTCCCTAGATTTTTATACCTTTAGAAAATAAAGTTGTGATGGATCTCTCTTTTAACATTTTTTAATGTTTTTTTGGAGATTTGCAATTTCAAAGGAAGGTTTTAAGCACAACGTGGAGGAGCCCAGATTATATTAGAACTGTAAGTGAGGAGCAGCATGTGCTGATAGGAGAACTTTATACCCCCATTCTGGATAGACGCCTCTGTTCCTCAGGCCTTCCTGGCAAATGTCTGTGACTTAGCAGGGGAAGTTAAAGATGGGCACCAGGCAGATCTGAAACATTGAACTGGGGATTTGCACAAGGTCTCAGAATCCAAATAAGCTAAAAATCAAGTTATTTCAACTTGGCAGGAGCTATTAATGAGGTTCATGGTTAATTGGCTCCTGCTGTTCATCCAAGGTAATTAGCTTGTGATGATATTTCATTTTTCATTTGAGGATTTCTTGATTGAAGCCCTTATTCATCATTATTGCCTTTCTAAAGGACGGTGGTCTTGGCGTGGAGGTTCTCAGCAGCGTGTCCCATTTCCTCACCTCTGCTCTTGTCCTCTTGTGCAGAAGTGAGTGACGAGGAGGCTCTGCAGCCCCCGGGTGCACTGGCCAACGGCTCACCCAAGTTACCCCGCATCGACGAGCCCAGCCAGCCAGACCACGACTCGTACGACATCACCCTGCAGCGCCGAGACAACGAGGGCTTCGGGTTCGTCATCCTCACCTCCAAGAACAAACCGCCGCCGGGAGGTGAGAGCGCCGCCTCACAGCGCGTTAAAATCCCTCAGGGCACGACGCGCTGAACGGAAACAGGTCGCCGAAGTTATCGAAACTTCAACAACTTCATATCAAGCCGACCTGTCTAAAGGCTTTTTTTAATGAGCTTTTCTCTTGCAGAACAAGTTTATCTGCCGCTTTTCTGAATGGAGACTCATTGTGAAAGACCTGAGAAAGCAAATATTTTTTGTCTCTCTCTCTCCCCCAATTACAGTTGTTTTGGAAACAAAGGATTTATTTTGAGTTAGGAAAAGCAAAGCAAATTTTGTATCATGCTTCTCGAATTGATAGCACATTTAAGGCAAGGGAAAATAGGTGAGAGCTCAAATACTGTTTCCGATTTAGAATCACTAGTTAGTTTCGTAATGTTATCCCGGTTTTGCAAAAAGTATGCGTTTTTCATGTCTCCGTTGGTAGCTGCAAACCCTATTTGTGGAGGAAGTGTGGACGGACTCCTCTGACCCACCCGTCTTTGTGCCACAGACACCACAGCCCCAATCAGGAGGCTTAGCAAAATAGAGACACAGCCCTCTCCAACAGCACTAAGGGCCTGGGAGGCAGCAGGGGTCTCTGTGTTACTGAGAACTGAGAGAGCCTTGTCTGAATGATCACAGCTTTCCTTTGGCAGAGCTCGGACAATTGCGCACTGCTTCTTGGGGAATCTCAGTCGCAGTCAGCTAGTGACAGGCTCAAACCCATGACTGTGGAACTCAGCTTACAAAGCTTTGGGCTTTGGTGACAACTTTTAAACATTTTAAGAATAAAAAGGAGGGAATTGAAATGGAAATCTAATAAGTAAATTGATTCTTAAAATGTAGAGAGCTTTAGGAAGATATATAACAAAGTAAGCCCTGTTTAGGTAACTTGAGAAGACAGTGTACCAAAACAATATATGCTGTCTGGGACATTAGATTAGCCGAAAGTAACTGATAAGCTTTGAAAAACAAATCTAGTGGTGGTGCTTCTTTTGTTTTATGATGTAATCTGTTTTGTCTTAGGGAAAGGGGAAGTGTTAGAAGGGACAAGGTGCTGAGCTTTCTCTTACAGCGCAACATCTTATAAAAACCCTGTACTGCTTGTCACAAATTGAGTCTCTGATGCACTTTGTAAATTGGCAGCAGGGCTCCCAATATTGCAATATTGGAAAAAATGACCTTACTTGGGTGAAAACTCTCTCTTGTGGCTTCCTCGATCGGTTGAGTCAGACCCCCGCATGGCTGATTTCATTGAAAGATGAAATAATTCCATTCCTGCCAGGTTGTGTTTGTGTCGACCACATTAAAACATCATTTTAATGACTTCATTAGCAATAATAACAACCTCTGTCACACAATCAGAGTTGTTTTTTTTTTGTCTGGAACATCCCAGGAATGAAAAAACAGCCCTTTTTAAATTTGTATGCAGGAGAAAACAAAAGTGACATTGCCTGTTCCCCATACATAAAGTGTTATGGGGCTCAGTATTCCCTGTCTGGATTACATCAGGGATAGGTCTTTACTGCTTCTGTTGTGTTAGTGATAATTGCTGTGCTGTAGCAACAAGGAAGTGTAATAGCACATTAATAACCTTTCCCATTAGCACAGTACTTCAGCTCAAGTCAGTCAGCTCAATAGCATTGCTGCTGACGTTTCTGTGTGTTTCTATGGACACATTGATCGCCACACATTGAACTGTCTGTAACCTCAAACCTTTTATCTCAGCTGCTATAACAAGTAATTGTAATTATTTTACTGCTTTTTCTATAGTTCTGGTTACTAATGAGTGAACGGCTCATTCCAGAGAGGCTGAGCAGTAATGGTTTTCTGAAACAGAGGTTTTACCTACTTAAATTTTACTCACAAGTTGTCTGGCATTGTGTTGGAAATTGTCACCACATTACAAAAATATATTGCTGCAGTCAATAACAAGAAGAGCTGCCTTAAAGGAATGCCCTACACAGTCAGGCTGAAAGAACTGAACCTTTCTAGTCTTGAATCTTCAAAGACAAAATCAACCTTCACAATCACAATGGACTTCTTCACCATCAACAGTGATATGTACCAGAAGACACAAATAGAAAAATAGGCTTTTAAAAGTGAGAACAGGAGGAATTTGACAAAGAAAGGATCATGGGTGTCTGGAACAAGCTGCCCCTCTGTGTTTTTGAAGGTGATGCCCTGGCTTCTTTCAAGAAGCAGCAGGAAGAGGCCATTCATTTGTAATGTTCTTATGGGAGTGAGAGACAGCCCAAGCAGAGCCATCAGATATGTGCAGATATCAGAACAGCTTTCTGGTGCCTCCTCAAGACCCAGCTTGTGAGATTCTAGCTTTACACTATCCTTTGTACTATATCTTGTTTATGATCATTGTGTTGAGTGTCGTAGTTGTGTCAACGGATTTCCTTTCTTAATACCGCTGTGTGTAATCATGCTGACATGCTCTGTGTGCAGTCATCCCACACAAGATTGGGCGCATCATCGAGGGGAGCCCCACGGACCGCAGTGGGAGGCTGAAGGTGGGAGACCGCATATCAGCGGTCAACGGCCAGTCCATCATGGAGCTCGCCCACAACGACATTGTGCAGCTGATCAAGGACGCTGGCAACACTGTGACTCTGACCGTCGTGCCGGAAGATGGTAAGCCCACTAGAAGCCATCCTGCACCCCCAAGATGTACTGCTGACCCTGTCATTGCTTTCGCTTTGCTTGTGTGCATTTTAAATGTATTTTTTATAAATCCATAGTTCGCACTTCAGTTGCCTGTTCCAGCCTGAAACACAACGTTTTCTAATAATCTAACATACACCCATTTACCCATTTATTATTTTGTCGATGTATTCATTCGTTCACTCTGTGACTTGTGTGAGCCTGAAGGCCTTGCTGAGACAGCCCCTGTCTGTGTTCCAGAGCACAGTGGGCCTCCATCGGGCAACAGCTCGGCGAAGCAGAGCCCAGCCCCACAGCACAGAGCCATGGGACAGGTGCAGCCGGCACACCGAGAGGACAGGTAGGGCCCGAGAGCGGGATCACTGCTGCGTACCCTGGACACTGTGCACATTGCCTTCTGCGTCTCTCAACACCGCACATTAAACACTCCACCATACACTGAACATTTCACATTCTACACTCCTCACATTCTGAACACTGCTGCATACCGTGGACTTTGTGCACGTTGTATTCTGTATCACTGAACACCACTATATAAATACTCTGAACAATGCACATAATGAATTTTGGAGTCACCATACAGTGCTGCACTCTTGGGCAGAGCTCTCCCATTCTCTACTAATAAAGTCCTAGTTTCTGATCCAACCCAGAACTTATTTTTTTCACTACAGTGTGTATGAAGTAGCCGCAGATTTAGATGAAACTGGTAATGCTCTACTCGAATGGGGTTACATAACACCATTGTAACTCCTTCATAAAGATTACACAACAAAATAAAACCACGTGCATAACCCCTTACAACAGTTTGTGAAAAGGACATTACTCAAAGATACTCATTATGATGCATAAGACATAGTTCCGGTCAATAGCTAGGGGCAGATTTGCAGTCTGAGCGAAATCAGATGAAGAGATGAAAGACACCATGACAGACTTCAGAGTTAACAAGGGCTTCCTACACATGCAGTTTGGTAACAGTGATCATGGCATGTTCATGTGGATTTCTGTTTTGCTGTATCTTTTTTATGCATATTGTTAGCTCAGTAAATGTTTATGGGGGAGTTATGACCGTGTTATGTATCCCCATTCAAGTAAAGAAGTAACTATGAAATCCATCCGTCCATTTTCTTACTGCTTCTGCCAATTCAGGGACATGGGGAATTCAGAGCAACAGGTACAAGGGTGGGTACACCCTAGTGGGACGCCAGTCCATCACAGGACAGACAGACCCACAAACTGTACCAGGGCCAATTCTCCCAGAAGTCAAATTATCGTACTGGCTTTGGGCTTTGGGCCAAAACCTGAGCTCCCGGAGGAAACCCATGCAAACTCGGGGAGAACATACAAACTCCACGCAGACAGCACCCCAGGTCTGGAATTGAACCAGAGCCCCAGCACTGTGAGGCACTTCTGTGCCACTGTACCAACCACAGTGGAAAACCATTCGAATGTGAATGTGAAAACCATGTGAATTTTTGGGTCAGATTTGGATGAGAACAATTATAAAATGAGATGGGGAATATTTTTCCTAACATAATCTATTCAATAGAAAGTAAAAAAATGGTAATATTACAGTGCTTGCATGCGACAGAGGCGCCCATCCAGTAATTTAGGCTGAACTAATTTAGGTTTGAAACTGGCACTGCACAATAGAGAGGATTGAAGTCCTGTGCTTATTAAGCCATGCTTTATGATGTTCTGCTGCGTCTGCCTGTGCTTTCTGGGAAATGAGAGGAAAGCTGGCAGAACGATTAGAGGAATTAATGGAGGGTGGTGTGATTGTGAAATTTGTGAGGCTTACACTGACTTTGATCTTCATTTGGAACAAGATTACCTGTGTCAATGATTTAATCCATTACAGCATGCGTTGCAGACAAGAAAAAATCTTGCTTTGATTATCCCTTAAATGATATATGTTTTTTTTCTTTCAAAGTTGCTTCCAGTGTTTTTCATTCCAGTATTGAAGTGCAAATTGAGGGTCATCCATGGTAATAAATGGAAAACATGTTTTGAAGTAGTGCAATGAAAACTGCCCGCAATCTTTGTAGGACCGGTAGGAGAGAATGTGAAAAATTATTGAGGTTTAATTTCATCAAAGGCATCTAATGAGGCTTCTTCACCAGCATGAAGACTGACTACATTAGGGATTTCACCCTTCTCACAGAAAAGGCTTTCAAGGGAATCATTAAGCATTTTGGATAGGCTGACAACCAAATGAACTATTTCTAGCTTCATTTCTGAGCATTTGGTTCAGTAATTGATTTATGTTCTACAAGTACTGAATATGAAGGCACTACCATATTAAAATAGGCAACCTGTATTGTCCAGTATTCTTAGCTGCCTGTGCATCCATGGTGTAAATAATGTCATTCTGCATTCGAATTTGCATCAGGGCCTGCATGATACTCTGAGCATTGCTACCAGGTGTTGCAGTATTGACATTTTGTTTTTGGTATTTTTGCATCTCTTATTTCTTTGTCAAAACTGCCCATTCTAATACAGCAGGGTTCTATGTGTGCACACACACATGTATTCATACATTTGTTTTTGGAATGATTTAGATATAACCCCGAAATGGACGATAAGAGGGATTCCCTCTCTGATGCCAGGCTTTCCTGGGCAGACCACAAGAGCCTCCCCCAGAGCGAACAGGGGGTGCTGTGCACTACAGGAGCCAAACAGGTGAGAGCCCTGGGCACCAGACAGGAGGTACACATTACAGACAAACCGATGTGCCCTCCTGAGCACAGTCAGAGCATGGCAGGCACAGCTCGGTCCTGTCATTACCAGGAGCTTGCTGAACTGTAGAGAAAAAAAAACTATTAACAAAACTGTGATTTCCATCCATTCATTTTCTAACCACTCCTCCTAATTCAGGGTCTCGGGGGAGCCGGGGCCTATCCGAGCAAGCAACGGGCGCACGACAGGGTACACCTGATGGGATACCAGTCCATTGCAGGGCACACAAAGACACAAACACACGCGCTCACGCCTGGGTCCAAGTTTCCCTGAAGCCAGTTAACCTACCAGTATGGTTTTGTATTGCGGGAGGAAACCAGAGCTACTGGAGGAAGCCCATGCAAATGCAGGAAGAACACAAACACTCGACACAGATGGCACCCCAGGTCTGGAATTTAACCCAGGGCCCCAGCGCTGTGAGGCAGCAATGCTAACCAACCACTGTGTCACCCTGCCACCCCAAAACAGTAGTGTATTGTATAAATAAATTATAATATTTTACAGGAAGGGTTGACAAATTCCTCAAATTCCTCAGCAGTGTTCTGTACTGTAGCTCTAAGGAAACTGAGTGCAGTGTTGTGGATGCTGCTGTCCTCAGGGCTGCTTCATGGTGGAGCTGGAGAGGGGCCTCCGAGGGTTCGGCTTCAGTCTGCGGGGAGGCAAGGAGTATAACATGGGCCTCTTCATCCTGAGGCTGGCGGAGGACGGCCCCGCCCTGAAAGATGGCCGGATACATGTGAGTCTCGCCCGCAGAGCCCGTCTGTGCCTGAATACAGCAGCCTGCAAGGGTATTGAGGGCACCACCCGCACGTTTGTGATGTAAAGCAAACTCCTACGTACCCGATGCATGGATACCATCAGTACCTGTTTATTTCCAATTAATTGAATTAAAGATGTACAAACGTCTGAAAAAAATATTAAAAACTGAAGGAAAAAATGAATTTATGGACAAGAGTAGATCCAACAATTTTGGTACTTATGATGATGCTTAGCAGTTTATAGTGTACGGTATGAACTACAGGTAACTGCCAAAATAAAGGAAAGAGCATGCCAAAAGACCCCGACAGTGCCCTTTTCCCATGGTGAGGGGTCTTGGCGGCTCTGTTATGGTATGGGGTGCATTTTCTTTTTCCATTGTTTAGGTCTTGTTAGAGGGCACGCTAAATGCCAATCAATACAAAGCCATTCTGAGTGATCACATTCATCCTGCTCTGAATCATTTCTTTCCTGATGGGAGTGGAATCTTCCAAGATGTCAGTGCTCTTGGAAATTACTTTCTTAAATTACTTACTCAGTGCTTGAGTAAGAAAACCATGCAAACCATATGGCATAGTCTTCCCAGTCACCAGATCTCAACCCAGTTGAGCTCTTAAGGGAGAGTCGACCGCAGCTCCTGAGACGGCGTATTCCACCACCGTCAACAACACCAAATTATGGAATTTCTTGGGTCAGGATGGTGTCAAATCCCTTCAATACACTTCCAATACACTATTTGCCATTTTTCAAGAGTTAATCTGTTCTTAGAAAATTGTGTTTTTTAGCAAGTTGATATATATAACTAGTCCTTAAACAAAACTACTCAGCGCTTTATTATACAACAGAAACAGGGTTTCTTTGAGCCACAATTGCGGCCTCAAATTTGATTTATGATCTCGAGGATCCTCAGATTGTCAGACAGCGGCAACAGTGACACTCAGAAAGAGTGTTGGAGTTGAGCATCATTTTTTAGATTGACCAGATGTCAGTCAAAGAACTTGATTGCACCTAGATAAAGCAGTTGTTGTCAACCTCCATGAAATGCTACACAAAGATGCTGACTCGAGTGCAAAAAGGGTTTATAGGATACTCCCTAAATGAAGGTTTTGATCTCAATCATTCTGTACTTCAGTGGCAGTTTAGTGGATCACAGGAGTTTTGATGGGAATCACACCTCCTATATTCAATGTTGCTACTCATCAGGCTACAACTTATTTTACAAAAATTAATTTAATTTTTGATAACTTTTCTTATATCCATTGGCCACTTAATCAGGAGTAGCAGCAACTTGTCATAAGCCAGTTGTATTTGATTCGGAGACACTGAAGGCATATACAGTATGTTGCACTCAGAACAACTCCAGCTGAGATGAACATACATATAATTGGAAAAGGGTTTTATTCTCTAAACATGCAGATGATTTGTGATGACTCATATAGTGTCTGGCATTTGATATGATTCTAATATTTTCACCGTCACTTTAAGGCACCAGCTATTCTAAATGACATACAGGTAGATACATGTGTATTGAACTGAGAAAAGTATAGTTGAAAGCAGTGAAAATGTCTTGCTTATCATATAGGTATTACTACAAAAAATAGTTTGACTATTCTTGAGTAATGTGAAATATATTGCAAAACCTATACAGTTTTTGGATCTAATGTTACTATACCAAGATATTGCACTGATGTAAATCCACTTATATCATTTGAAGTTTACATTTGTATGTGAACTCGCCTACTAATCTTTAAGTCTCCTCCTTTTTAGTTATTAAAATGTAACATTTGATTAAACATTAGAATACTTTACAATGTGCAGCTGTGCCAGGCAATGCTTCTGCTTTGCCTCCTATTTTATACCTTTCTACCACTCTGTGTCATCAAGGATAAGCTTTGCATTGCCAATGCATTATTAATAAATGACCGTGATATTGATATTTCAATGTGACTGCAGATTTGACATGTATTTTTTATGAATGTGTAAATAGACTCATTTCCCACACATACAAATGCACATGCTGTAGAGTGTTCATATACAGTATTTTATACCTGTGGAGTTAATTCATTACAGCAGACCAGTGAGCTGAGTGAAAGAAAAGAAAAAAATCACCAGTCTATCGGCCTTAACAAAGGATATGACATTGACATAAGTAGGCAACAATGAATCAGGCATGTTTTTCTGTACAGTCTGTTCTGTAACAACCTCGATGACTTATTTTGAGAGCATTGCCAAACTATTGTTGATTGAGGAAGTGCTTCTAAAAGCTCCTATATTGGTTGTTTGCTACAAGAAAATATTACTTGGTGTGAAATGATGATGGTACCAAAGTCATCATTTATTTCACACTAATTTCATAGGCTGTGATTTAAGGTTTTTTCCAGGTTTTATAGAAAGTTAGCAGTAGGAATGGCATGATGGAGACAGTGTGGTGTGATTGCAGGTGGGTGATCAGATTGTGGAAATCAACGGCGAGCCGACCCAGGGTATTACCCACACCCGGGCCATTGAGCTGATCCAGGCTGGGGGGAATAAAGTGCTGCTGCTGCTGAGGCCAGGCCTGGGACTCGTCCCCGACCACAGTGAGTGCAGACAGTATGGTGTTGATGTCATTCTACACTGAATAAACACTAGCGTACGGGCCTACAGGAAGAACGTGGCTGAGTTAGCACTGTTTATATCCGTTATATATCCGAAGAAGTGTCGGCTGTCACAGAGTGACGACTGTGTGTCCGGTGTGCGCTGTCGCAGTGCGACGACTGTGTGCGTGTGTCCCCGGTGTGTGCTGTCGCAGAGTGCCGAGTGTGTCCGGTGTGTGCTGTCGCAGAGAGACGAGTGTGTCCGGTGTGTGCTGTCGCAGAGTGACGAGTGTGTCCGGTGTGTGCTGTCGCAGAGCGACGAGTGTGTCCGGTGTGTGCTGTCGCAGAGCGACGAGTGTGTCCGGTGTGTGCTGTCGCAGAGCGACGAGTGTGTGTGTGTGTCCGGTGTGTGCTGTCGCAGAGCGACGAGTGTGT